CTAATAGTTTAACGGAAAAAAATTGAAAAAATTGAGTACCACTTATTTTTACCAACATTTTAATTTTATATTACTATATGCGTTGCCTTAAAAAATAATGCAGCGACGTATATTTCAGAAGTTCAAAGTTGAACGACAACAATATAAGATTATGAAATGTAAAATAGTGTTGAATTCGTCTCTGTTGAACCTTAACATGTAACTATTAAGACTTTGTTTCATTTATTTATAATTTTTATTCGAAGACAAAAACAAAAATTGAGAGACGTACTATGGGGAGAAATGAACTCGGTGAACGTTTCCGTAAATTCTAGTTTCCCTACCCTAACCCATATACAGTACATGTTAAATTCTAACAGCAGATGCAAGTTTGACAGTATCAACAGCTCACGACAAAAAAATTCACACACAATTCATGTACATTATTTTACAACACCTTGCCAGATGACATTAAACAATTAATTTCGATACAAAAGTTTAAGTCCCAAGTAAAATCTTTTCTGCTGCATAACTGTTTCTACACAATTAGAGTTTGGGAACGCTATCAGTATCGTATTAATTCATTACCTTTTAATTATTTTTCTATCTCTCATCCTGCTTACGCAAAATATAAGGTTAAAAACGCTTAGGGTATATTCGTAAATACACCTTATACAATAAATTCAATACCAGAAATATATTTTCATTTTAAGTTTTGAATAAAAAATATATTGCTTGAAACTATTTAAATTTTTGCACCACTTTCAAATAAGTTTTGCAAAAATGATGACGTGTTAATTCGGAGAGAAATTGTGGTATATACGTGTAGCAACACATAACCATTACTAAACGAGAGGAAGTACGTGCTGTTTCAGTACCGCTAATTTTCTAGTCATTACCGACGATGAGAAGTGATATTACGACCCCGAATCAAAACAAATCAAGCCAGTGAAAAACTCCAAGGTCCCCATCACCCCCAAAATTACAAGTGAAATCAAACATCAAGACGATGCTGTTTCTTTTACTTTCTCGCTACGGAGTAGAGAGAAAGGTGTGTAATGCTACGCGAAAAAAAGGCGAATTTTCGACAGAAAAACTTATTACAAGTGATTAAATCCAATTGCTAAATTTAGAAAAAAACACGAGGTGTAGCCAGAATTCATGTTTTGCGGGTCCTTGATAACAAAAATTCGAATGACGGCAAAACATGTGTACGTCCATCCGTGAACAATACTAGCGGCTAAACCGTTCAGATTTTCTCCAAAATTGATATTCATCAATCGATCTGACTAATGTCGCGGTCCACCCAATTTGAAACCGAAATTTTTAATTTGGGGAGTACTTCACATAAAGACACTGGGATATTTTCTAAATTTAAAAACGTCATCGATTTTGATTAAATTTTGTTGTTGGATAGTGTGAAGAATGTTTAAGAGAATTTAGTTGAAGGGTTTCAAGAAGATTGCATAAGTGTACGACAAAAAAAGGCAAGATGTGGAGGCAAGGGAATGCTTTTTTTTTATTTGTTGGGTCCACACACACGCCACGCGTCTCCAAGCCCTTTGGAGTGCGATGAGTGCTTTGCGCTGGGAGTAATCCTCCATTAATTAGTGCGCTTATCAGGAGAAATCCTCCATTACTAGTATGTTATGTCACGTCTCGTCGTGAGTCAGTTGTCAAGAGGACCGCCAGGTCGCATCTCCGCGTACGTGCCTCCTACCACGCGCTCCTGCGTCACTACCCAGCAGCCGGAATTGGGAAGGACTGGGATAGGTAGGGTTAACGACAATTCACAGGGGTTGGACTGGCCCTTGTGAAGCAGCCAAACTTTTTGCTCGAACAAATTTCACACGAGATTGTCCGGGAATCGAACCCGGACCTCTTTGGTGAGAGGCAACCTCTTGAGCCATGAGATAACCGCTTCTCAGAAAAAACGATTTTTGCCTCTCATTCAACTTGCAGTTTTTTCCGCTAATGAAGAACATGAAATTGCAACGTTTTGACAACGTTGAACAAAGAAAAGGAGGCGCGTGTTGACCATTATAATAGAAGAGTTCAAAAAAGTGGGATGGAACCACAGATAGAAGGAATGTAAGGTCGGTACAAGGGAAAATACTTTGAAGGTGTTAGGATTTTGCAAATAAAAAATAAGCTTTAACTCAACCCTGTTCCTATTGGGTATTCCTTCGTATGAAAGTCTTCCTCGGAATGGCACACCTTCTTAGAGTACATTTTCAATCTTGTTTGGCCTGTTCATTGTCGACAAAATGAATGAATCTCAATAGAAGAAACCTGTCTAGTTGAAACCGATGAAATAAATTCATTGTGAAACATGGGATCCTTCAAACAAGAGTTCCTAACGGACGTTACCGAGAATAATCTCACTGTTAAAAGAACGCAGAAAAATTGTATAAGGTTCATGATTTCTTTCCATTGTCTGATTCTCGATTTACGAGAATATTCCCTACTAATTTGTTGCCCGGCGTACTTGTTTCGTGAGTAATTAACTCCGTTACACAGTTTACGAATTGTGTGAAAATTTCAAAAGGGTTAAGCTTACTTATTGAATAAAATTCGGCTAGATCACACATTAGCTGTGAGCGCTTAAGGTATTTGAGTGTCGCAATGCTTGTCCAGTTGTTCTCTATCACACTGTAGGACGAATTCAGAGTATTCCTTCTCTACGCCATATTTTCTGTCGTTAATAAGTCACCCTCACTTTCCGAACAATCCTCTGAATGTGTTGAAGCACAGCATATTTTACTCTGCAGTCATTGTTGAAATCTTCGAAACATTGGAAGAATTTGTATGGCAGTATTGGATATTATAGCTCGACAACTTAGAAGAAAAACTACTTTGCAAGCGCGTAAAGTGGCATAGAGGAAATTACCATCTTAATAGATGATAATACAAGGATTAAAGAAAAACATCCATCTTGTCAGGTTTGTCAGCTTCATTGATCCATTGAGCAAATACTGAGATGGCCCTGTTTTGGCTTCTGGAAGTGAACGGTAGCTTCACTATGCGCACGTTTGGTTGAACTCCTCCTTTGCTTGTAATGGTTAGAGTAGAGTGAAGGACGATGTGCTATTTTGTTTAGCAATGCAGAAAATCATACTTACAATTCGTTGTACCGATGCAAATAAGTTTTCTATAACTCAGAAACAAACATGACTATTTTTCAAATATTGCTTATCTTACGATTTTTAAAATTTATGTTAAACTTTTACTCACCTTTCAACTATTTTTATTTAGAATGACGGGAAGGGATTCTGGAACTCAAGAAAACGTGCACAAATAATATTTTCCTCCCTACGTCACGTACAGTGGTTTGTTTGTTGTTGTTTTTTTTTATTATTACTAATATAAATCTAATAGGCCCAACTGAGGAGCCTCCGCCGCCACAGCTTGTCCTTGACGAAAGTCCCGAATCCGTGTTGACGGCTCGTATCGGATTATCCTGACAAGTCGCGCGGCTTTTGGGTGTGAGAAATGTCAATCCCTTCTCATGTACATTTATCGCAAAGGACTGTTTTGGATTTCTTTTCGTTCGGAAGTTTTTGTGAGCGCTCCCGCGCGTAGGTGTAATCTCCGAATTGTGTATTTGCGGCGATTTTACATTTCTGATGATACATCATACACCCGAGTGCATCAGGGCAATCGTTGAGTCCAGGTTCGTGAGATAGTGTACCGAGTAACATGGTACTTTCGGTATATGAAAATCTCGAACAATATAACAAATGCGAATTGTAAAAATGATCTGATACGGCAGGCGTTTCGGAATCAACTGTGAAGAAAATTGTGAAGGAGGGCCAGGAAAGCCAAATTGTGAAGGAGGCCGATAAGCGATGAGTCTGTTTAAGCGGGAATGACAGCAGCGTTGCCACCATGAGCGTGAGAACGAAGTTGCAAGAGCTACCATTGCAGGCGGTCCTCGAGTTCGGCTTCGGCACGCCTCCTAAGGTAAGTGACGCCATGTTATTATTTTCTAAATTGTCGAGCTATAGCTCGTTCCTTAAATGGAATTGCTTGGTTCCACTATACTGTGGTTCTGCCGTTCTTGAGAATCGTCCGTTTCTTCATGCTCTTTCTGAACTTCTAATTCTACTTTACCAGAAACATTCTTCTTGGGCATAGATGTGCAAGAAATATTTCCAATACCTACAATATCATTGCAAGCATTCAATCTTACTTGAATTCCTCTTTCGTTAGTACCTCCATTCTTCTTATTCACTGATCCGTTTCTTTCTTACGAATCGTTTAGATTTTCCAATTCCATTTCCACTAGCTGCCACAATATGAGCACCATATCAACTACAACTATGAACCTCTATCAGCAATTGCACAATCACTGCTGTCATGACAGTGAAAAACTTTGGTGCCTATTTATTCACTACTTAACTCATTACTACCTTTCATTTCAAGATTCACTATTCAAGATTAAAAACAGTAAAAACTATAGGTGCCGAATGAGATTGGGTGAAGCTGAATTATAAACTGTTCCGACTTCTTTAAAAACAACATATTTACAAAAATGTGCATACCTCTGATGGTGTACCTCTCATTAAAAACTGAGTTAACATTGTTATGAGTGATATGCATCACTGAATGAATGTATAAAAATAAGTATTCTGTAATATTCAAAATCACAAGAACCATCCTTGTAACTGATAAATTATAACTATTACTGACAATTTGACACACTTTGCACCTCAATCAAAATTGTAGATAATAAATGAACTCTAGGCACGAGACAAAATGTGAAAATTTGCATTTTGTGTTGAAAAGAGTAGTTACGTGTGAAGGACAGTGATGTAAAATGGGTTATTTAAAATTCTCAACCATAGGGGGTTGAAATTGTCGCCACTAGACTGTGTGTCAATTAATTCACACGAGCTTTTGAAACACCTTTTCTTAATTATCTCAGAATTCCATTTTTGGCCTTAGCATAGTTTTCACTTACTGTCTACAATTTACAATTTACCAGCATTCCCAGTCAGTAATTTTCCCAGCATTCCCAGTCAGTTTACTAATTTATTGTACAAAACTATATTCTGAAAGGAAAAGGGATTATGTATACTGAATATTAAATGTACACCCAATAATTTGTGGAGATGAATATAATAGTTTTGCAAACACTAATATTACAAAAGCACTACAAAACATTTAAAGAACACACGATATAACAAAACTAGTATTGTTTGCAAATATATACCAAATAAAGGTCACACTAATACAATTCATATACAAACCACAATATGCAGAGAAAAATAAGTATTTTACAATTCAGATGACAGTTTGGTAAAAGTGCTCTTACTAAACAATATTCAATGCAAAACTCATTCAACCAGATACTATTTTACATATAAATGCAAATGATTTTGTCTCTAAAATAGGAAGAAAATCTATTCCATGAACAAATTAACAGATTTTTCTTCCACAATACATGAAGGTATTTGTTTACCTATGTGGATATAAAAAAAGTAAAGAGGAAAAGTGATATAAAACAGAATAATAAAGACCAAATAAATTCAAAAAGATCAATACCAAACATCAAATAACTGATGGGAAGGAAAATTAGAGCATTTTAAAGTTTTAATTAATATATACATCTGGCCACACCTTCAAATGAAAAGTTCAAATATGACATTTAGAAAGCAACTAACAATATTTTTTTATAATTAAAAATATTGTAGATTGCATTTAATCTAAATCAGCTATTTTGTGTTGTGCATTTAATCAATGAAGTTCATGAAAAAACATTAATAGGGTAACAGAGAAGTATTTTAAAAGAACTTATTACATAAGAAAGAAAATCAGGGAAAAAAAGAGCACAGAAATTACGAAGTTTCCTTTGTACTTTAAAACATAATTGGAGTCATGTTGATACAACTGTACTACAAATATTATATTTCTACCACTCTTTATACATATTAACCAATGTAATGCTGAACTTAAGAACTTTTGTTCAAACCTCTTGCAATCATAAAAAATAATATTCAGTCAAGAAATTGTATTTACACCTACTACTCGATTGATTTGTTATTCATAACTTAATGACCGCAATGAAGTCATCATTGCTTTAAACTGGAACATTAAAATACCTAGTTCAATGATGTACAAAATATCAGTATAAAAATACTGTAATTGGTACTAAATGTATGCTATTAAGAATAATTTTTTATGCTATTGCCTGTATCAATACTTCTCAAAGAAACATGCTCTCATTCTACACCTTTGAATTTTAAATTAACTGAAACATAAAGTAGATAAGTATGTTTTTTGAAAAGTATTAATGAAGTTACAAATTAAGGCTTGAACTTCTTGTGTACTTCTATAATACATAATATATACAATTTCACTGACAATTTTCTATCAGTATTTAATCCATGTATTTTAAGAGTTATCTTCCCAATCTGACACACTGTCACGTGAAAACAAGACAAAGAAGTAACTCATTAAAATTAAGTTGTTTTTTTGTTGTTGTGTTTTTGTACTTGTTTTAAAATCCATCACTTGGTTTGAATGCGAGTTGTTCATGTAAATGCCTGCAACACAAAGTAAGAATCTTCAACATCTGTAAAGCTTCAAATAAATGAAATATATGTATAGTATTCAGTATCATTTACTGCAAATGAAAATACAATAAAAAAGTTCACAGAAGTGTCATCTGTCTATGGAACCATTTGCTTCAGTAGTCAATCAGCAGCTAAGACGTGGACTGTAATATTGAATTTACTCCAAATTTTACACACAAGAAAAAAATATTTATTACTTTATGTATAACTAACTCATTAACAAGGGTGATAATTCTAAGAAGCCCTTAAACAATATCAGGGAAGTACAACTAGAAGATTTATGTACCTCCAACAGATCCCCAAACATGCACACATTAGTCTAGAAGTGATCAGCTCAAGGTCCAAAGAATAATACTGACAACCCCTCCAATATAAATTACACTAAGGAAATATGACTGCTTTAGACCATGTGTGACAATCCAGACACAAAATCTCCTAGTCTATTGCTGCTGAATAGGGACTTACCCCCACTCCAGCATCAGAGAGATTAATGATGAAAAACACAGAAGTTCACAGATGTCAATTCAGGAAATTAACATTGAAATCATGAAATGAATTAACATTCATTTCACAATACACAGTATGCTGAAAATATTTTATTATGCGTACCTCGCAAACATGAGTCCTGTGGACATAGAAATTTGTCATTCATGGCCCTAGGAACACGAATTTCAATATCATAATCTACCAAATGAGACCTTTTTGTACGAACTATTACGTTTTTGGAAGATTCTCTTACTTCCTAACTGTTTGGGAGAAATGTTGAAAGTTAGGGCATAGTATGTTTTCACTATGGGGATTCTAGCCCACATTTGGGTATGAGCGGAATACGATACTTGCTGGCTAGCATACTCCAGCTCTGCCTCCAATCATAGAGCCCAACATTGCACATAGAATTGACATCCTCCTGCATCGTTAACGAACGTGAAGAAATCGGCTGACTTTCACGAGATCATCGCGAATTACGCACACGCGAGAGAGACAGCGTCCAATTTACGACCTCAAACTTATGGCGAATGAGGATTCGTTACACGTGTTCAATTTCATCATCAGGCTCTGACATTCGGCCTAGATCAACACAAAACATCCTTGAATCTGCCCCGCGCACTATTTCCAAATCATTTTATTCCAAAGTACTTCTAGCCACACACTTCAAAGTCACACCCGACGCTTCGCTACACATGTTCACGCTCATAACGAGGATCCAGGCTGCCACCCACGCATAAAAACATCTTTCAGTCTGCCCAGCGCATAATTCAAACGCAACGCATTTTACGCCAAAATAAAAATTTACAATTTACATTCTCAAACTAAGACACATTGTCGTCAATCCCGTCATTCTCTCTTCGTTTTAGATCACCGATCTCATAACGCTGGAGTAGATTCGGTACGAAAGGGTTAAGTCCCCAAGATCGTCTAAAACGAGTTTAAAGATACGTGCCCACCGGGTCGGTACGTACAGTACTGGTGGACGGCAGATTTTGCGTGGCACGCGCACACTAGCCCGGGCCGGACATTTTGGACACTTTTTGAGTTTGGCTCCTCACGCCCAGCAGTATTCTGCGCGACAGCTTCATACTGTAAGTAAAGAAGCGTCGCACTGTATGCATTTTTAATAACGGAATAAGAAAATTAAACAGAGTTAATGAAAGTCCAAATTCTCTTCTAAACCAAACGAAAAATTCAGTTATTATATCCCCCCGACCTGGTGGAAGATGAAAAATTATTTCAGAGCTCTAGGGCATCTCGCAATAAATATGAAGATAATTTAAATATTTAAAAAAAATATTTAACTAAATACTTGGTAAAAATTTTATGCATATTAAATTGAATTGAACGAAAGGCATGAATCAAAATTTCATTACTTTATTGTAACGGCACGAGCTACCGCGAATTCAACATCGTGTATCTATCGATAAAATCGCGGGCATCCAGCACTGTCACAGCAGCCGTTGGAAGAGCGGTACCTGACCCCCGCGCTTTCTTCCCTGCATATATTGAGACGATGGTCATTTAGCGCTCAAGACTGGTGACTCTTCCCCTCCCCCCACGCGGCTGCGCGTCGAGAGAGTCGAAGGTATTTACACCCACTTGGAAGACAGTTTTACGACTCAACGAACGTTGGCGCGCACGTGCGGCCGCCTGCGACCTAGGTCAACGACTTAGTTCGCCGGCCACGGAGGGACTTGCCTGCGGCGCAAAACGAGGGGAAATTTTCGGCCTTTGCCAGGGATCGCGAGTCATTGGTCGAAGCTCCGCCCCGCCACGGTCCGTTAAATTCAATTTCACTCAATCAGGGGGATTTTCACCGCAGAAAAGGGAGGGTAGAGTCTTCATGACGACGGGAGAGATGCTCTCAAAACCTTCACTTCAGAAATCTCGCGGAGGGAAGTCCTAAAGCTCCTGATTGAAGGTTGAAGCTCCTAAAACATTCACTTTGGAAATCTCGCGGAGGGAGGTCGAGTTTCACTAATATATCACAGCTTCTTATAAGAATATAGAATATTAAATTTGGTAAATGTTTCTCCTAGACAAACTGCAGTTGAGCTAACCAACTAAATTACATTAAATACATTCATATGTTGTACCGGACAATTCTGTATCAACATAATTTACTTTGACACATTCATGTTCGCTCCACGCAACAAACTGCGGAAAAGCCTCCCGACTTAATAAAGGTAGCCATGACAGTAAGGACAGAACGGCACTCCCAGAACATCTTTCTTTCCAACTTTTCGCAAACAATAGAGTGCAGATCGGCCCGTCCCGACCTTGATGGCCTACAACGCGCACCCATACGGCTAGCTATGTAACGAACTTCAAAAAAATCCGTCCCTGCTGTGCCGTACAGTGCGCGGTGGGCTTTAGGACGCAAGAACAGTCTGCCTTCAAAGACAGACCGCGCCGAAAATCTGTTTACTAGGCTGACGACAAGAGGGGCTACACTGAATGACGTCTCAAAAACATCGACATACTTATCGGCAAGCAGCTACATAGCTTATCGGCAAGCAGCCCCGGCACAAAAAATTACATTCACAATTCGTGTAACAAAGCATACAAAAAAATCAATATAACAACTTGCTAACGCAGCCGCAACAAATATCTGGGCGATTATAATCCCTAGCTCGCATAACACTACCCGACACGAGAATTTTCTGAACGATAGTATTCTTAGGTGACTGAACTGCACATACGAAGTGTCTCGCGTCGCTCGTTTTAAACGGTAGAGTGCACAATCACGGCCAGCAAGTATGCTTAAAAGCCTTTGCGCTCCGGCCTGTTTCTTGTTCCGCTACTAGCCGAACTCCCCTCTGCCACTACGGAGATCCGCATTACAAACATGGAACTTTATGACTCAGAAGCTTTGCATGTAAGTACTTAAACCTCTGCATTAGTTCATGAGTAACAGCAGCAGTTATTAACGATCACTGGTACACATTCATAAATTATGCCAATGATCGTTATTAAATGTACTGCGCTCTCGTCACACACAAGGAAACTGCGTCTTTGCAAAGCTGGCTTAATATATTTTTGACTACTAAAATATGCAAAAACATGTACTATATGCATAAAAATTTGGGAAATCATGAAACAAATACTTCTAAACGCCCTTAAATAGACGAAGCGTGGTACTTTTGCGCGGTCATCGCCAAACGCACACATTGCGCGGGTCCATCTTCCTCAAGCGACTAACTAGTGAGACTGTAATGTGGTCTCTAGGTTCCCTCCAC